TCTTTTGGGATGAGCACTGGGTGTTGTATGGAAACCAATTTGACAATAAATTTCATATATTTAAAAAAAAATAAGAATTTGTAGATTAAAAAAATACAATTCCTAAAAAAAATTAAAAAAAAATAAAGTCTATTGTGTCTGATATAAACATAGCTATCCCAGCTTTCTTTTGGTTTCCATTTGCATGGAATATCTTTTTCCATCCCTTCACTTTCAGACTGTGTGTCCTTACATCTGAGGTGAGTCTCCTGTAGACAGCATATAGTGGGTCTTGTTTTCTTATCCATTCAGCCACTCCTCTGATTGGAGCATTTAGTCCATTTACATTTAAAGTAATTACAGATAAGTATGTACTTATTGCCATTTTGTTCATTGTTTCCTGGCTATTTTGTAGCTCTGTTCCTTTCACCAAAGTCTCTGATATCTGTTTTTATAGAACATAATTTCAGTAGAACTTTATATATCTTATAGTTTCTAAATCAGTTAATTTACTTTTCACTGATTGTCCAGGCATCCACTTGCCCACTGGTCTACTACCTTATTCAAAAAAGAAAATGATCTCATGGCATATATATGTATAAAGAACCAACACAGAAACTTCTTGAAAAAATGATCTGCTCTGAAAACAGTGACTGATACACAATGTGTAAGCATGGAAGATAGATATATCAGAGAGGACCACTGGCAGGACCAGGATCAGAGCACAAAATTAAGTATGAAAAGCAACTTAATCTGAGATGGGAGAGGATTATGCTACACACCTTATCATTTATTTTACAGCTGTAATCTACACTGTAGTTTTGCTATGGAGGCCAAAGTAACCAATTTTGAATGTAAGTGCACAAATCTTCCTGTTATGGTCTCATCCTCCCACTCTGTCTCCCACTCCCATTCTGCCTTTCAGCCACTGCGGACTTCTTTCAGTTCCTCAGACCTGCCATGCTCCTTGCTGCCACAGAGCCTTTGCACACCTCTTCCCTAGCCTCTTTGCTTGAGACTGTCCCTACTTATCTTTTGGATCTCAGCTGAAGCACCAATCAGTTCCTCTGAGAAGCCTTCCCCTGTGACCCCAATACAGATCAGATTCCTTGATAGTATATTTGTTCAGAACTGGGTGCCTTTCCTTCAGAGCAATTGCCTCAGTCTGTTGTGATGCATTCAGTTGTGAGGTGACTAGGCTGTTCCTCTCCCCTAATGAACTGTAAGCCATTAGGTGAGGCTGAGTCCAGGTTTGCTCATCATGCTATTCTTTTTTTTTTTTTTTTTAATTTTTTTTTTCAACGTTTATTTATTTTGGGGACAGAGAGAGACAGAGCATGAACGGGGGAAGGGCAGAGAGAGAGGGAGACACAGAATCGGAAACAGGCTCCAGGCTCCGAGCCATCAGCCCAGAGCCCGACGCGGGGCTCGAACTCACGGACCGCGAGATCGTGACCTGGCTGAAGTCGGACACTTAACCGACTGCGCCACCCAGGTGCCCCTCATCATGCTATTCTTAGCAAGTAACAACCTAACACACATCTCAACAAATATTTATTGAAAAAACCCAAGAAAGTGCCAAACTCAGAAACGGTTTAGAAAAAACAGTGTTCTATTTGGTAGATACTTCTAGGGATAGGATGGGAGATGCATTTCTGATTTCTGCTTGGCAACTGAATTTACCTGGGCTTTCCGCGTGGCTTGTGGCTCAATCATGATATTGATAAGAGAAGGTGCAGTTGTGTCTGCCAAACTCTCCCTCAGTGATTTTTGGAGCTCTTCCGGTGTTTGTACGAAATACCCTTTGCCTCCAAACGCAGTCATAACCTGCTCGTAATGTGAGTTTGGCAAAAGACAGACGGGAGGGGCCCTAAAAAAGGTCGTAAGTCAATAGAAAAAAAGCCATTCTCTGAAATAATCTGTGGAAAAATTTAGGCTGAACTGAAAGGTGTACATTTATGTTCAACACCTAAAGATGCCAGTACACTAAACTTTCCATATATTTTTTGTTGTCTATACAGCAATGTCTAACAGGACTTTTTGTGACGAAAGAAATGTTTTACATTTACATTTAAATATATATATTTATGTATACATTATCCAATATGATAGTCACTAGCAACCTGTTGCTGTGAGCACTTGAAACGTGACTAGTTAAAATAAGAACGATTTTTAAATTTAATTTAAATAGCCACACATGGCTAGTAGCTACTAGCTACTACACCATCAGCTACTATGAATCCAAAAGAAAAAGAAGAAAAGAGGAATGGCTACTGCAAAACACCAAGTAACAACAAAATGAGAAACGGAGTCAGTGAGGCAGAAGCAAACATACTCACATCCCATTCCACCCCTAGGCTGACTCCCACACGGCTAGCTATGATACTGTCACAGTTTGACTCTGCCACCAGATAATCAAGAATTAGTTAAGTAATAAAAAGAAGGAAGATCTCTGGACCATAAATAATGTGTTAACATCCATTTCCTCCACGGTGTAGTAGGAACAGAAGGACTGGAAGCATTTTGCAATAAGCCCTTTCATTAACAAAGCTTGCACATCAATCTTAATTGTCTGAGTCTTTAGTGGCTCCCTGATCATAAATTATTTATTGAAGCACCCCATCATGGGCAGTTGTACAAAGAGGGGCCATGCATATGGGGTTCCTGCCCTTTAGGGGGGCTGAAAATATAAATAAACAATATTCACACCACAGAAGCACATTATAATACAATATACATAATACATATTGTATATATTGTATATATATATATATATACACAATAATATAATAATATTTTAATGTTATAATAGATGAGAGAAAATAAATACATGAGATGTATTTAAATAGATGAGAGAATTAAGTAGATGAGAGAAAATAAATACATACTGTTAAAATAGATGAGAGAAAATAAATACATACTGTTCTGGGTTACTTACACTGCAGTAGCATCTCCAAATTTTAACATTTCCTTCCAACTATCCACATCAAAACCTTGGTAAATTCCATTATTATTCACCACCAAAAGAATGATGGGCAAGTTGTACCTAAAATTGAAAGCAAAATATAAAGGAAATCATTCTTCATTCTAAAGCACTTTATTATCTTCAGGCTGAAACTTTAACTTAAAAATGGATAGTTTTCTAGAAATAACCTTTTTTGTAATATTAGGGTAAGACTAAAACTTAAACATTTGTTACCTAAAAAGGAACATCAAATCATTAATGGAAATACGGAGTCAGAAAGGATGTAAGAACACCAGGTGCTAGCATTATGCATCTATGGACCTCACTGTGCTTTTCCGAACCTTGGTTTTCATAGATCCAGGTGCTAAGAAGGATACCTTCCACCTTCCATATTTAATACCTTCTGAAGCACCACTTCTAGGTGGTGCCTAAGAGTACTATTTGAAAAGTATCTTTTTATTTCCTGAACTCCTCACAGACAAGCAGTATTTGCTAGATGCTGTGGGAAGCATACAAGTGACTAGCATACATTCTCTTCTCTCAAACCACTTCGCTCCAAGTTAGAAAAGCATTATATGGGGATGCCTGAGTGGCTCAGTTGGTTAAGCGTCCGACTTCGGCTCAGGTCATGATCTCACAGTTCGTGACTTTGAGCCCCGCATTGGGCTCTGTGCTGACAGTTCAGAGACTGAAGCCTGCCTCAGATTCTGGGTCTCCCTTTCTCTCTGCCCCTCCCCCACTCTCTGTCTCTCTCAAAAATAAAAACATTAAAAAAATTTAAAAAATAAAAGCACTGTATAATAGAGAAAAAGAGAGTATTTAATAATGTGCTAAACAGTACTGTAAAGATGAAAGGATGATTAAATTTTACTAACGACTGACAAAAGAACATGGGCTTTGTTTTGTACACACATAATTTCTGAGACCAGGTGTAAAAACAAAACTACACGGCACACTATTATGTAATAGGACTGTGGAAACTACTTGCGCTCCATGCTCAATGGGAATCATGACTCTCTAGCAGGCTGGCTTTTCCATAAATCATCTTTTTGGTGTATATCACTCGGGTTGTCAATACAGACATTCTAACAAGTACATTTTTCCATCTGATCTTGAACGTGTTGTACACCAAAGCTCTGAAAGCCCCCAAAACATGATTTACAAAGGGTCTAATAAGAGTCCTGGCTAAGAATAAAGAAGGACTTTACTACAGTTTAAATAATTAGGGAGAAAAAAGTCCCCATCCTTCTATAGCAGGATCTACAGCTCGTGAGTTTCTCCCTATAAACAACCCTCACAACTATAAACATAATCTGAACAGCTCACGTTCAATGAACAATCGTCTCGAGCTTTACCTAGATTACCTCATTCAATCCTCACTACCATCCTCTAAGGTAGGAACTATTACGATTCCTCTCCCTATTTCAGAGGAGACAGCAGCTTAGTAAAGTAACTTAACCCACATCACCTGGCTCTGCTGTGGTCAACCGGCATTTAAATCCAGACCATGGACCCAGAGGCTGTGCTCTTACCCACAAAGCTTTGCTGTCTCCCTGCCAAAAACAAGCTTTTCTTAGACTAACTTTTTGCAGTGATCTCAAAACCACTCCTCACAGTTTTGCGGGTTTGGGGCATGTAGTAAAGAGGTCATGAACACACTGTCCTAGATGAGAAAGACCCCGGGGTTATTTCACACTAGTATTCTCAGGACACAGCACAGAGTGTGTACAGGGCATTTGGCACATGGTGAACACTGAGTAAGCATCTGTTAGGCAAGTGAGTCTTTATTCTTTATCTTTTGGAGAAAGAAATGAATGCTGTTGTACCTACAGATGGTTTCCACTTCCATGCCAGAAAACCCAAATGCACTGTCTCCTTCCACACAGATGACCCGCTGACCTGTGTTTCTAGCTTTAGCCAGTATAGCGGCTGCAATGGCAAAGCCCAAACCAACTCCCATCGTTCCAAAAGTACCAGCATCAAGCCTGTTGGGGGAAAAAGCTAAAATGAAACCCTCTGGGGCACGTTGCAGATGGTGGGCGGGCACAAATCTAGTCATACTCATGTGTAAAACACAGAACAATAAAAACATTCTCTGTCTTTAATATAAAGTTTTTAGACTGTGAGGAACCGACTAGTCAAGGATAAGCGGTATGAGAGGAAAAAGTCTCTCGTGATGGCTTGGAAAACTGTGAATATATCCTTGGAACGGTAAGTATACAAATTATCACATGACCTCAAAGACATATCAAACATAAAAACTCTGCCAAATCTCACCTAAGAATACTTTTATGGAATATATCCTTATGCACTGAACATGTATAATCCTCAAATGTTTTATGAGCCTGCATTACTGTAGTTTCAAAGTTAACACATTAAAATTACTTTTCTGGAAGCCTTACCTGTGACGAGGAAGGTAGTTTTGAAGCACAGTGCGTCCAATATCCATAGTATTTGCTCCTTCACTTACTACAAAACAGTCTCTGGGTAGCTGTTCTTGAACATGATAGAATACTGTGTAATAATTCATAGGCAGAGATTTTTGGGAAGCTAATTCCTAAAGTATTTGAGGGAAACATAATCAAATTAGGTTGAGATACAGTGAAAAATGAGGAATGTCAATAAGCTACTGCCAAACTCATTTGGAAAGAGGCTACAAGCTACAAAGTTCCCAAATGGCCTCTCTTAGAAGCTAATGGATCTGTGGACAGCCCTGTGGGACAGACTAAGAAAAATGGGTTCCACAGTCCCAGTCTGGGACACAATCAAATAATCTAGGGAATATCTTTCTTCTTGGAGATCCACAATACACATTAGCATCCTAAAGTCAGACAAGTCGTATGGTAAAGATAGCTGGAAACATTGGGTTAAACAAAACTAAACAGTCTTATTTGAGCACTTTTATGAATACACTGCCTTAGAAAGTAAAAATTTTATTCTAAAATACTTTAATCTGAAATACGCCCTGAATCTTAAAATAAAAATGAAGTCAGGATTTTAGAAAATCTGAAAATCTGGTTCTTCTCCACATGCATTAGAGAGTAAAGGAGATACGCTTCACCCACTAAAGAGTCTTCGAATGGAGCAAGATAAGTGCCTTTGTCTAGCCACATGCCTCTTAGAGCAGAGAGAAAGCCACATGGGGCTTTAGCAGCAACAGTCCCAAGGGCTTCCGGCATTGCCTCTTCACCTGTGCTGTTTTGGCCTGTTGGAGGTTATACCTAAGATGGATGAGGCACCGTCCTATACTCCTGCACCAGAGAAGAGAGGCAAGTTCCTCCCATCTTAAACTAGTATGATTCCTAGGAAAAAGAAGGGATTAATCATGGCACCACTTAGGAAAATAGAATTGACACTGTCTCTTGATAGAAACAGCCACTGATTAATATTCCAATAAAACATAGAATTATGTATAGTTAATTCTGCTGTTTTTGAAAATGTGAATTTATTCCAAGACATCTGACATATAAAGGAATAATATGAGCACAATGCAAATTTCACATTTGCTCCTGTAGGATTCCGTCAGTGAGAAACACTACATGAACACAGAAAACTGCACCCAGCTGAACCAAGATGCACAGGAATACACAAAACATCAGAAAAAAATCATGAACAACCTTTCTCACAATCAAAGAAAAAAATTCTACCTATATACGAGGACCCTAAATAGAAATCACCACATCCTACAGAGGTGGTTCATTTCACTGCTAGTAGTGGATGGTCTGGTAGTTTCACACATTACTATAGTTTCCAAAGCCTTTAGATATCAGGCAAACCCATGAATGCAGATGAGGAAGTCACAAAATAATTTTCCGTGGTGACACAAAAGTTAATTTAAAAAGGCTATAAGTGGTCTCACAAAAAAAAAAAAAAGAAAGAAAGAAAGAAAGAAAGAAAGAAAGAAAGAAAGAAAGAAAAGAAAGAAAAGAAAAGAAAAGTGAGGTGATGGATATGTTAGTGAACTAGATGGGGGCAATCCTTCCACAGTGTATATGCATTATCAAATCATCGTGATATACCTTTAAATATCTTAAAATTTTAACTGTCAATTATACCTCAACAAAGCTGACTTTTTTTAAAAAAAGGCTATACATTGGAACACATTTTCAATTTTGATGAAACACTTATTATACATGCATGCCTTGAAGGACTTATATCTTAAGGGTAGAAAAAATGCCCCAGTTTAAGATTCCAAAAGATTTCTTAATTGTGATTTGGTGCCAAGGTCAAACTGAGGACAGTGAGCCCTACCCATTCACATGGGCTCTTACAACTAACTTTCTGTCCAATGTCAGATCAGCCTCCTTCCACCATGTCACGCTAACTCACAAGCTGAGATCCTCCCAATGCCCACTTCCACAAGAGACTTCAGGTCTTTTTCAAGGAAAAGTACTATATTTATTGAAGTACATATGTTTTAACCATTTAACATGTGTTGAATTTCGCCACCATTTTTATTAGGCTCCTATCTTAATGTTTCACAAAGTTGGCAGCTGTGCCTCTAAACCTTTTCCCCCATAAATCCCACGGATTTTACATAGCGTGGTGATTTAGGAATGCGTAGGTCATGTTATGACAGAGCTACTGGAACCATGGGCCTGAAGTGTTTCTAGATTTCTGTGAGTCTCGTATTACCTTGGATGTGGCTTCATTGCTCTTCATTTTTTCTCTCAGAGTTTTCCACCAGCTGCTCTCTGGAGGATACTGCCATGGCGTTTTATCAAATTGTTCTAAAAGCTAAAAAACCACAGACTTTTACTTTTTGAAAATAAGCTTATGTCATATTAACACAACAATATCTTGTTAAAGAAGATGATACTGCTATGCTATCCTGCCCTTCTCATCACTCCTACTGTCTGCACTCTAGGCAGCTAACAACTGGCAGAAAATAAATAGGCAACACGGAAAGCGTTCTTTTGGGTCAGTGTGGACTTCTGCCAAATGGGATTTCCACAGAACACAAGGGAAATGCTACCTCACCTCACAGGCAGGGGCTTTTATGTCCTCCTCAGCTTTTGACACTAGAAAGAAAATCACCCCCACCGTAGAATCCTTGCGGAAAGGACAAGAGCCCCAAATATCCAGGGACTTCCGAGATACAAACCAAATGTTCCAGGATGTTCTAATATGTGATTGGGGATTGCTTCCTAATATTATGTAGTCATGATAACAACACCAATTTGTATCCAATATCAAGTGAAAGATGTCACTATACTTTATCTCCTGATATAGTGAACTGTATAAATTACATACAAATAATGAGTACCATTTGAAGAGTAAATAAATCTCTTTATTGCCTAGTGAAATACTAAGTTAGGTTTTTCCAGTACATTAAGACATTTCTTGGCTGTAAGTTCAGTTACTCTGGAAGCTGTATTATAATTTTTCAGAGAGCTGAATCCTATTTAGTATATCACTGTTTGCCTACTGACTGCCTTTAAGTCTTCATCGCCTTCCAAAATGATGAACTTACTTGCTTAAAAATGATTTATATATAAGGAGTTGGATTTACTGAGTTCCAGAGTTCTTTTCAAGACTAGCTTTCCATCATAAATTTTGCTTAAAATAGATATTAATAAGCCTGTCATCAAGTGAATCAAGGCTGAGACATTTTTAACAACAGACTATTGCTTAAAGACCAATCCATATAAATTAAAGCCTAGGTAAAAGCTCTTACCTGTTTAGTGACAGCATTTATGTCTCCTAGCAAAGTCACAGCAGGCTTTACATTATTCCCCAATTCTTCTGCACAGATATCAACCTAAAAGAGATAAAGCTTAAGAACAAGCCATGCTTATTCTTAAAAATCTTTAAGAAGTCAGTTAACACTGGGGCGCCTGGGTGGCTCAGTTGGTTAAGCGTCTGACTTCAGCTTAGGTCACGATCTCGCGGTTCATGAGATCGAGCCCTGGATCGGGCTCTGTGCTGACAGCTCAGAGCCTGGAGCCTGCTTCAGATTCTGTGTCTCCCTCTCTCTGCCCCTCCCCTGCTCACGCTGTCTCTCTCTCTCAAAAATAAATATTAAAAAAAATGTTTTTTAATAAAAATAAAAAAGTCAAGTAATACTGAATAAATGAACTGTGTATATGTAACAAATGATAAAGATGATTTTATATCCAAGATATTTCCTAATAAAAGTAAAAATCCATAGAACTGTAAGTATCACAGCAAGTACAGAAACCTCATCATCTTCCTTCATTTTAATGTCTACTCTGTAGATTTGGGTATTGTTCTATTATACCCACAGGAATCCATCTGACTTGATCAATTATAGTTTTGAATCTCATCAATAATAAAGTTGTTTAATTACACTGTAGTTCCCTACTTAGAGCAGCTCTCAAATGTGAACTATCAGAATCACCTGGTAGCCTTGTTAAACCATAGAAAGCAAGAGTCTACTTCAGAGTTTCTGATCTCAGCAGCTCTGAATGAGGCCCCAAAATGTGGTTTTCTAACAGGTTTCCCAGGTGATGCTGATGCTGTTGGTCCGGGGACCACACTTTGAGAACTACTACTCCCTAGGGTATAGCATGATTACTTTCCACTTACCCAGAGGCCCCATTTCTGAATGGCCATGGGCAAGTGAAAATAGCTGTGCAAGGAGTTGTAATTTAGCCACCCTAAAGGGGATGCACTGTATTCTGTACTCAAGAGATATAATCAAGAGGCAGCAGCATCTTCCAGGGAAACTCCAGTCTTGCTTATTTGCAGTGTTAGTTCTCCCATAGCCCCAGGGGGAATGGGACTATTAGAAGTTGACTCCTTAAAAAGTAAAAAGGGAGAAGATAGCAATTGTAGCTGGGTCATCAAACACCATACACAATCTCTGGAGGACAAACAGGTTCACGTTGTACGATATAGGCAGTACTTTCCACACCAATAAGGAAACTGGCTTAGAAAGAGGATCATAATGATACATGAATCATTAGAGTGAGGTCAGAGTATATATTCCACTATTCAGTGACAGGTAAAAGCATTTAGAGATTCCTAATCAAAGGGTGTTGGAAAGATTTGGCATCTTGGGTGCCTGGCTAGCTCAGTCAGTGGAGCGTATGAATCTCGATCTTGGGGTTGTGGGTTCAAACCCTATGTTGTGTGTAGAAATAACTTTTTAAAAAAATCTTAAAGAGAAAGATTTGGCATCTAAAAAAACAACTCATGGACACATGGAAGCTTGCTCATTAATGTCTTGTTAGCGCATATCTGCATTTGTGGCAGGGCCTGAGAGCTGCTATCTAATCTTCCCTCCTTCCTTAGGAATACGCCTTGAAGACTGTTTCCTAGTTCCCTTCATCCAGAGTGGGCAGTGAGACATAAGCAAAAGTTGTAGGGTGGGGCTTCGAGAGTTGGCCCTATTAATAAAACTACCATATCCCCCCTTTCCCAAATCGTCCTATTTCCTGCCTGGAATCATAACCTGATGGTTGGCACTCCAGCAGCCATTTTGGATGATGCAACCTTGATGGTGGAAACCAGGCACTAAGGATGGAGAAGAAAGATAGAAAAAGCCAGAATCCCTGATGACATTGAAAGTCTGCATTCTAGCCATGAACCACCTACTTCTGCACTTCACATTATGTAAGAGAAAAATAACCCCCTAAATCTTTTTAAAAAATAAATAAAATAAAAAGAAAACTCAATCTCTAACAATGCTGAATGTTTTGTTCTAATCTACCATTGTACTCAAACCCCTTCTGTCTGCCTTTAAATATACTTGAACTATGAAGAAGAGGCAAATTATGCTTTTCAAACTATTTAAAACTTGGTTTTGAAAGGTTTTCTGGTTAGAAGTAAAGTGGCACATTATGTTTCATAGGCTTGAAAAGGCAGCTTACTTTGGTACCTGTAATTATGTTAGACGATAAAAACCTACAAAAGCCAAGAAGAAAGCGGAGCTGACAATAGCTGAGGACAATAAGTCACAGATAGCTCTGGTTTTAAATCTCGGCACTCTGAGTACCTGGATAAACTTCACATCTGGCTGGTATCTTGGAGGCAGTCCAAAATGCAAAATCCAATTTAATCGGGCACCAAATAACACAATTACATCAGCAAATTGCAAAGCCCTATTAAAAAGAAAAATCTGTTTAATACAAAAAGTATGTATCTATTATTTCTTATTTGAATTATTCTAAAATCATTTTTTAAATATTTATAAAAGTTCAAATGATTTGGAGGTTATTTTATTTTAGTTTTCAGAATCAGCTTCTAGAGTAAATTTGATCTTTCAAACCAAAATAATTTATGAAGCCATTCTATTTAAATAGTAATCTATAAGGTAAAATAAGTAGAAAAATATTATAAGACTATACCTATTTCATTGTTTATTATTTTTTATCATTAGAAAAATTATTATAAGTCTACTGTAGATAATGTGGAAGAATAGAAACAGTATAAAGAAAAAAAAACCTCATGCAGTAATACTATCAACTTGAAAGCTATTGTCAGTAGTCTGGTATATTTTCATCTCTAGTCTTCTTTCTATGCAAGCATATTTTTACATAGTTGAGCTTATATGCTATAATACTGTCTCATGCACTTTTGCTTATTATTACATTTTCCTTATCATTAGGTTCTTAAAATTTTTTTCATTTTTATGCTCTATTTATATTTTTTTAGTAATCTCTATACCCAACGTAGGTCTTGAATGCACAACCCTGAGATCAAGTTGCATGCTCTTCTGACTGAGCCAGCCAGGCACCCCTTAAATACAATTTTGAAAGGCTGCATATTTTGCAGAACACATATACCAAATTTATTAAATCTTTTAATTACTGGATAATCTGTTATTAATAGTACTGGGTTGCACATCTTTATGCTTAAATCTTTTATTTATGTTTACTTATTTTGAGAGAAAGTGAGCAGGGGAGGGGGAGAGAGGGAGAGGAGAGAGAACCCCAAGCAGGCTCCACGCTCAGTGGAGCCTGAGCCTGAGCCATTATCAAGAGTCGGATGTCTAACTGAGCCACACAGGCGCCCCTACACTTGAACATCTAATGCATGTTTCATACTGATTCCTAGAAGCAGGTATTTGTAAGACGATTGATTCATATTCCCAAAATGCTTTCAAAAAATTTACCAAATGTATTAATAGTTTTATTTTATATATCTTAATATCCTTGTCAATACAACGAATTTTTTTTAAATAATTTTTACTTTGACATGCACACTGATATTAAGTCATCTTTGCTTTGTTCTTACCTCATACACCTTTGCTTACTTTATGCTGTATCATTTGCTTCAGATGTTCTTATATGTAACTGTCTTTTTATTGATCCAATCAATAATGTTTCTACCTTTCTACAGAAGGATTTATATCATAATTGCTCTGGGGTTCTTTTTTCACTTCTCATTTTTCTGCTTCTTGGCTGTTTCCCTTTTATCCTACATTTTTCTATAGGGGATCTATTCTTTTGCTTTTGTCTTCTTCAGTGAGGATATCATATATGAAATAGCATTTTCATATACTGTATTGGTCCTGTGGGACCCAATTTAACAAACAGATAAAAACTGCAATTAGAAGAATAGATGTGCTTATTGATACTTGATAATATTGATTTGATTATTTATGACTGCTTGGAATCTTTTTTACCCTATTAACTTCTTTTTTCAAGATAAATATTCTTCATTGTTATTCTTTTTTTTTCTTTTTTAATTTACATCCAAGTTAGTTAGCATACAGTGCAATAATGATTTCAGGAATAGAATCCAGTGATTCATCCCCTACATATAACACCCAGTGCTCATCCCAACAAGTGTCCTCCCTAATGCCCCTTGCCCATTTAGCCTATCCCCCAACCACAACCCTCCAGCAACATTGTTTGTTCTCTGATTTTAAGAGTCTCTTATGGTTTGCCCCCCTCCCTGTTTTTATATTATTTTTGCTTCACTTTCCTTCTGTTCATCTGTTTTGTATCCTAAATTCCACATGAGTCATATATTTGTCTTTCTCTGACTAATTTCACTTAGTATAATGCGCTCTAGTTCCATCCATGTTGCAAATGGCAAGATTTCATTCTTTTTGATCAAGTAATATCCCATTGCATATATATACCACATCTTCTTTATCCATCAATGGACATTTGGGCTCTTTCCACATTTTGGCTATTGTCGATAGCTCTGCTATAAACATTAAGGTGCATGTGCCCCTTCAAAACAGCACTCCTGTATCCTTTGGATAAATACCTAGTAGTGCAATTGCTGGGTCATATGGTAGTTCTATTGTTAATTTAATATAATTTATTGTCAAGTTAACTAACATACAGCATATACAGTGTGCTCTTGGTTTCAGTGGTAGATTCCCGTGATTCATCACTTACATACAACACCCAGTACTCATCCCAAGAAGCGCCCTCCTCAATGCCCATCACCCATTTTCCCCTCTCCCCCCCGCCATCAACCCTCAGTTTGTTCTCTGTATTTAAGAGTCTCTTATGGGTTTGCCTCCTTCTCTGTTTGAAACTATTTTCCCCCTTCCCTTCCTCCATGGTCTTCTGTTAAGTTTCTCAAGTTCCACATATGAGTGAAAACATATGAGATCTTTTTCTGACTTAGTTCACTTAGCATAATACCCTCCAGTTCCATCCATGTTGTTGCAAATGGCAGGATTTCATTCTTTCTCATTGCCAAGTAGTATTCCATTGTATATATAAACCACGTCTTCTTTATCCATTCAGCAGTTGATGGATATTTGGGCTCTTTCCATGATTTGGCTATTGTTGAAAGTGCTGCTATAAACATTGGGGTACAAGTGCCCCTATGAATCAGCACTCCTGTATCCTTTAGATAAATTCCTAGTAGTGCTATTTCTGGGTTGTAGGTAGTTCTATTTTTAATTTTTTGAGGAACCTCCACACTGTTTTCCAGAGTATGGAAGTCCTGAAGTCCAGATTTGTGATGCCTCCAGCTTTGGTTTTCTTTTTCAGGACTGTTTTGGCCATTCAGGGTCTTTTCTGGTTCCATACAAATTTTTAGGATTGTTTGTTCTAGCTCTGTGAAGAATA